CTCATCTCTCTCTCTCTCTCTCTCTATATATATATCTTTCTCTCCTCTCTCTCTCTCTCTCTCTATATATATATTTGATTAAAAACAACTGCTGACGCAGCATTGACGAGCTTTTTGATGCATCGTTCTAGTTTCCGGGCATGATCTGGCATCATCGCTTAGATTAAAGATGGTTCGCACAAAATTACTCATATATTCATCGCTCCTTCCATTCTAACGTTTCGAGCTCCTATCTCATCGTTGGAGAAGACTAAATGGCACAAGAAATAAGTTTTGAGTTTTAAATGATGAAAAATTGTGCACTACTGTTGGAAAACCTCCTTTGGTACGGAGAACATAAATGAAGCATAACTAATTAAAGTAAGACAGAATCCTATTTTCATTTTCACACATGTAAGAAACACTCATAATGGGAACACTACAAAGACACAATGGGAACGCTATTGCCACAATCACATCAGAAGTGCTCACTGTGGTGTTTATGGAGCTGGATCAGCTCGCGTATGGTCTGGTCCGGTGCGAACCATAAAACGCGTGGTAACGGTCGGTGGGGAAACTATTTATTCAAGGTCAAACAGGGGTTCATTTCATAGGTAGCCCTGGAGGGTATGACAATACAGGGGAATGTGAATTATTTTCATTTCGAAGACACATAGACACTACATCCCTCCCCTTCTTCAGATGATTCCTTCATCCACGCGGGCTGTCGCCGCGCGCGGTGACGCATGGTCAATGCCGGTTTTCCACGCTGGTCAGAGCACGACTTCCGTACGCGATGACCTTGATATCCTCAGGATTTTCAGGTGTGGTCTGGCACAGGATGGTACCGAGTCCGTGCGGACTGGCGTCTACGATGAGGCACGTATCCTTCTTGTGATCGAAGCAGGACATCGTTCCATAGCTACTCAGAGCTTCTTTGCGTCGCTGAAGGGCAGTCTCGTGATGGCTGGTCCACTCCCAAGGAGTGTCTTTCTCGGTTAGATCTCCCAGCGGGCTCGTGAGGTCGGTGTAGTTCGGTATGAACCGTGACAGGTAGTTCAGTATGAACCGGTTTCTCAAGCCCCTTAGTCTTGGTTAGATCTCGCAGCGGGCTCGTGAGGTCGGCGTAGTTCGGTATGAACCGTGACAGGTAGTTCGGTATGAACCGGTTTCTCAAGCGCCGTAATCGTCTAGCACCGGACCCCACACAGACCGCGACTTGTCGCGCAGGAGTTGGCTCAGTATGAGATAAAACAACGAGCAAGCAAATATAGAAGCAAGGAAACATTCTTGCCTGATATGGTTGCAGTTGTCGACAAAATAAGGATCATCTCTTCACGAAACGTCATTGCCGATATCCATTGCAACAATAAGATAATGTGTAAGACAGCGAGAGTAGGTACTTACACATGCGTACGGCATAACACGCGCAAAAGGGATATCACCATCAACCACATATTTCTAAACATTACATGACGTGAATTCACAAATTCGCACTTTAATTCTCGTGACACATATCTCCCGTTCTATAGCTCCGTTCACAACTAGGC